GGGGTTTTTCCCCGCCGCGTGCCTACTAGTACTAGTACTAGTAGTAGTAGTAGTCGTAGTAGTAGTAGTAGTAGTAGCAGTAGTAGTAGTAGTAGTACTGCTGCTGCTGCTACTACTACTACTACTACTACTATTACTACTTCTTCTATTACTACTATTACTACTACTACTACTATTGCTATTGCTATTACTATTATTATTACTACTACTACTAGTAGTAGTAGTAGTAGTAGTAGTAGTACTATTACTAGTACTGGTCCTAGTACTAGTGCTAGTACCAGTAATAGTAATAATAATAGTAATCGTAATAGTAATAGTATTAAGGTCCTTGGGATTTCTTTGATCACAGGCATGCAGGACGTATCTGCGTAGATTTTGAGGAGCACCGATGTACACAAACTTGATTTGCACATCTGGTACCCGGTGTTCGACCCGCCTGACACTAGCATTCAAGGAACAACGCCGTCTTTGTTCTGTTCCATAGGAGGTAAATGTTGAGATCCTGCAAGGGGCGGGGAACAGAAGAGTAGTTTTCTTGAATACAGCTGCTGTAGTCTGCGCCGATATTCCTTTTTTTTGTTGTCGTATTTTTCTTACTTTTATGTACAATCACTCCTTAATCCCTAAACTCTAAACCCCCAAATCAGGGTAGTCATGGAAGGTACCTGGGAGGCCGGGATTTGTCGGACCTGGCAGAGAAAAGCGGATTCACAGAGTACCCTGCAGAGGCTTCAAGGGTTTATAGCCCCCCCTTAAGTGGAGAGAATATGGGACATATGGGGATCTTATTATAATATGCCCGAAGCCATATTCTATCTACTGAAGGGGGACTATAGAGTTCGGGGTTTAAGGTCTAGACTTTGGGGTTCGGGCATTAGGGTTGGGGTTTAGGGTTGGGGATTTAGGGATTAGGGATTTGGCATCCAGGGTTTAGATGGGTTTTGTGGTAGAGGTTTAGGTTTATAGAGTAGCCCCCGGAGGGTTGAGGGTTTAAGGTTTACGCTGGCAGAGGGGTTTAGGGTTTAGGGTTAGATTGCAACTGGGGAACTACCTTGGGATGTTGGGGCTTTACATTGCTGACGGTTTAGGCTTTACGGTTTAGGCCAAGAATGCTTGGCTTTGCAAACTACCATACGCGCAAAACCCATCATGAGGCTTTCAAGCCCCGGGACGACAAGCTTCTGGAGTACATCAGGATTCTTGGAAACATTTTTGTTTTTGCGATTTCTTTTTGCGTCATTTCCCCCCCAAAATGCGGCGAGCTACAAGAAAAACACATGCACAGAACCACCTGTACAAGTTTCAATTGGGAACTTTCCAGCAACTTGATGTGATGTATGCTGTCATACACAGCAACAGGAAGCTTTTTGTCACCCTTAAGTAGGTAGAATATTAGGGTTATATTGGGGTTATTTAGGGATAACGGAAAAGAAAATGGAAACTACTGTTTAGGGTTTAGGGTTGAAAGCTTCTTCTTGGAACCTGAGTTTAAGGTGTTAGGGCTTAAGCGTTTAGGATCTGGGGCTTAGCCGTGGCCAGTCCCTAGACCTTCAACCGAAACCCAAAAACCAAAACCTTGAAGTCCTAGCTGAGGACCCTAAACCGTATATACCCCTATGTAACCCATCATGGTAGTTTCCATTTTCTTTTCCATTATCCCCACATAACCCCTATATATACCCTATAAAGATATAGTAGTTTCCATCCCAAACCCTAAGCCCTAACCCTATGCCTAAACCCTAAACCCTATGCCTAAACCCGAAGCCCTATGCCTAAACCCGAAACCGCGTCACGCAGAGCCCGAAGCTGCATAAGCCTCGCGAGCGGCACAGGACGACAAGGGGCTCAGGTAAAGCTGGGGCGATGCGGGCATCCAACTTCTAAAGTATATTGGGGTTATATTGAGATAATGGAAAAGAAAATGGAAGCTACTATAGGGCTTAGGGTTAAGGTTCTAGGAGGTGCTGTAATGGACGACCTTTGAGGATTTTTTGCCGGCGCACAACCCTGGGACCTCCCTGGAGCAACGTTTTGGGCGCCGGCGGCCCATTTGAATGTCTCGCCTCATTTGCAGCGATTCGTCAGCCCAGATGATTGGTTGTGTCTTCCAAACCTTTGAGGTTGGTTTGTGATTACCGCGCCAATCACTCTGCCGTACCAGCCAGGGCCAAACGCTCCCTCACGGGAAGTTTTTTGAATTCAAGGCCTTTAGCCAAGAGTTTTATGCTTACCGCAGATGCCGCTGAACAGCCTGCTCACAAACTCCACAGGAACTGCATATGAACGGATGCTCGCCTGTCTGACAACGACCTAACATCCTTAGAACCCGGTAGAAAGTCTACAGTTTTGTTGCATCCAGCGACACAGCAGCTTCACACAAAATCAGCATCAAGAGCCACCCACTGGTGTAAACATTGGTCCACGATGAACACCCAACATGGCGTGGGGACGGCTGCCGATCCCTGAGCACCTTTCAATGTCAACAGCGTTTCGTGACCTTCAACTGTTCCGGCACAACAGCCTTACGGAAAGACATTTCGTAGTTTCCATTTTATTTTCCATTATCCCGATATGACCCTTATAGAACCCCAATATTTAGCCTATATATATATATAGACTTCGCAAGGCAGCTGAAGCCTACGTTGTTTGAACTCAGGGTTGTCAAGGGGCGGCCGGGCCTGGGCCTGTTCACGCACCAACGATCATGCCATGCGTGAAGTCTAAACTCTAAACCTTACACCCTGAATCCGAAACTCCCAACCTAAGACTCTAAGCCCTGAGCGCAAAGCCCTCTATCTTTGACCCTTAACCCTGAACCCTACACCCCAAACCTCAGACCCTAAACCCTCCCTTGAACCCCCTCAAATGGGTTGTTCTCAAAATCATGGACCCCTTATGGCTATAGATTATAGAAGCGCACTTAATATTTAGCAGTACCAAAAAAGGACCTTAATTTTGGGAACTACCCGGGTACATCTACCCTAAACCCTAAACCCCAAGCCCTAAACCCTCCTGAACCCTAAACCCACCCTGATTTTGGGAACCCAGGTACATCTGGGGTCCGCCAGATCCAGAGCCCCCTGAGCCTGAAGAATTGCCAGAGTTGGGGCCCGACAACGTCTGAGGGCCTAAGGCTGAGACTCGCGAGTCCCTGTGCTAGGGTATTAAGGTTTAGGGTGTAAGGTTTAGGGTTGAATTTAGGGTTTAGGATTTAAGGTTTAGGGTGTAAGGTTTAGGGTTGAGTTTAGGGTTTAGGATTTAAGGTTTAGGGTTTAAACCTATTAATCGGTTTCTATTCAAATCTGGGATGTTTGGTTTTGCAGACTGTTCAATGCAAGGGGAGGTGATTACCTCCACAGCGCCGGACAGCATAGAACTAAGTGGCCGGGAAGGGTTTGAAGCTATATTCACCAGACAGGAAGGAGAAGGGATTTCCACTATTGTCCGTTTAACAACCTTGGTAAAGATGCGCAGACTCTCCCCATACATTCCATGTATCCTTAGGGCACAATTTCGGCACCTAGCTGTCTAGCGCTGTAGGGGGCATGCAGCGAGGAAACAAAAAGAACCTTGACCGAAAACATACTGGCTGACGCTTGAAGGTTTAGGTAAGGAAGAATCCAATGGACCAACAAGTGAAAACTGAAATTGAGTCTCAGGGTACATGGTAGTTTCTCTAAATCGGGGGACCCCAGTATAGACCCTAACATACTCGAATCATTGTTTTTGGATTTTTGCGACACTCAAAAACGGCACTCCTGATTTTGGGAAAACTCCATGTAAGGATACAGATGTGGTTCAGAGTACGGCTGCCGGTTGTTAGTAGGCAATGGAGGAATGGATCACACTATTGCCATAATATGACAAAATCTCATTGTGGCTACTTCGGGAACTGAGGAACAGATTTCTACCGTAGGCAGTGTCTAGTGGCTTCGAATAGTGCTTCAGATCTTGTTGTATTCCCGCGCTTCTCATCCCTAAAGCATCAATTCCTTCCTTCGTACTGCACAAACCATGAGCGAAAAACAACATCGCTGGCACAGCGGAGCAGGTATGTGCAATTGGGTTTGCATATGCGTCTCTGTTGTCTTGCTGCATGCAGAGACTGCTGTCCATCAATCGGAGGCTTTACAGAGTTCCGTGCTCCTATTAAATACCCTCATTATCAATCTCCATATTGTTACAAATACTACGCTTGTTATTGATGTTGTTATCGCCATGACTGCTTTCTTTGGCTCGGAGTTGTGTATTTCAAATTCACTGCCGTGCTTGCGGCAGAGGCTCGGCCGTTTGATTCGGCTCCTTGTGCCGTTGTTTGGCTTTCCAAGCGTTTTCCGCAAGATTGCAGGAACATGGTGATGACGCAGCAATCTCCAAATTTGGCGAGGTCATTGCAGAAGACAAGACAAATTTAATCTGAGCTGGCTTGCGGTGGGCCTGCTTGGCATTTGCAGGTCGCGCTACAACGCTGCCTTCACTTCTTCAATCTTCGAGCCTCCTCCAACGCAGGGTGTAGCGACCTTCGTGCCGGCAGGTGCTCACCCTAAACAATATGGGGACATGCCAAAGGTAAAAGTGATGGTTTTGGGGGTTCCCTCATCCGGTCTGAGAGAAAAGCAAGGAAAGCGGCAGTCATGTGGAGATTTCCTGCTGTGTTTCTAGACCCTTAACTCTGCACTTCACTGCACAGGCAAGCGCCGGGATCAGACAACAGGAGAGCTCTTTGGCAATTATGACGAGAAGGACTCTGCCTCCCATCGCTCTCGGAGTTGTGTATTTCTAATGTTACTTGTGTAATAGGAACAAGAATAGTGACAGCAATAGCCATAGCAGCAGCAAGAGCTACAGGATTAGGAATTGCAGCCCCGCAGAAGCTTGTTATGGACATTGCGGAAGTCTTTTCTATGCCAATTTTTTGGGTTCGACTATCTGTCCGGTTGGCCCTGAACTACATCCTAAACGTCCTGAACGCTCAACCGTGTTCTCTCCAGGACCTTCGCGCGATGCCGAAGACCTTTGTTCCGAAGGAGGACAAGTGACAACAGCACCTTGTGGTCCCCCTAAATCCAAAAACCTATTTTAAATGCCGGACCTCCCAAGCCGCATCAAATACTCATAACAGGTTGCCTGAATACTGGTTGAGGCCAACTGCTACAACCCAAACCCTACACCCTAAATCCTAAACATAGTATTACGAGCGATAGGGAGGTCTAGTTGATTTGAAGCCTTTACACTTGTTTTCCCCAACCCCAAACCTCAACCCTTAACCCAGAGCAACCCTAAACCTCAACCCCAATGGTACCCAATAGTATAGAGTTTAGGGCCCTATAATGGAGAATCAAATGGAAAAGAAAATGGAAAATGAAATGGAAACTGGGAGTATATAGGGGCAGACCCTCAGCAGCTTTAAGCCCTGAACGAACCACTTTGAGGGTTCAGTGTTTAGGGTTTAGGACGCTTGAGGGTGTGCCCCATTGTGCTCCTGTTCCAGGACAACATCACGGCTCGCCGGCGGAAGCAACAATTCCTCTGCCAAAGTTGGCGTGTTTTCAGGGAGCTGCAAACCTGCCTTTCAAGGGTTTAGGGAACACTATGGGTACTGGTAACTATTTAATCGTAATTGTAATAATAATAGGAATAGTAATAATATTGGTAGGAGAAAGAGTGCTAGTTATAGTGATCCTCTTCGTCATAGTCAGAGTCATAGGGATAGAAGGTTTATGAGGTTTAGGATTGAGGGGCTAGGGGTTTGGGCCTAGGGTTTAGCGCTTAGTGGTAAGATTATGTTTTTAGGGTTGAAGGGATGAGCATTCCATTGCTGAAGCAATAGCTGGGGGTTCTGATGGGACTGCCCTGGCCCCTTCGTAATCTGCGTATGGTAGTTTCCATGACTGAGAACCCAATAATATAGACCCGATATATTTGAATCCTTATTATAGGGACTCCCAATTTGTGGAAACCCCATACATCCCTGGCTCTATCCTAATCTCAACCCCAAACCCGAGACAAACCTGACCATGCACTCCTGTTTTTGCGCCAACTTATTGTGCATCCTAAACCTTACTTTATGAGCAGTGGGGTTTAGGGTTTAGGGTTGCTTACCGATGGGTCAGGGGGCCTCCTTAAAAAGGGTTACTATGGGATTGCTCTGGGCTGAGTAAGCAATTTTGTATCCTGATTCCATGG